TATTTATTTATTTATTTATTTATTTATTCATTTATTTATACATGTACATATATATTTATATTTATATATACCATATATACATATTTGAAAATCAAAAAGAGGCTTAAAAAAGAGGATTTTTGACCACTTTACAGCCCCAAACTTGCAAAACTTGCAAAGCTGCTGTTCAACGTGCCTATTTTCCTGGACTTGTAGTTCAGCTCAACATTACAGTATTAGGTTTCTTACAGCTTCTACTTTTGAATATGTTTTATACCGTTTGGTGTTGCTAAATACGTGGAGAAATACAGCAAAAGTAAAATTCGAAAAATTTTGCAAAAAAACTTTTTTTAGAATAAAAGGAAACACTTTTTTACAGAACTTTTTTCATTATAATTATCATACACTGGTGACGATCCTCTAACGAAGTCGTGAATTGTATCTCGCAAATCAAACCAAAATGAGCAGTAACTCATTGTTTTTACAGTAACCCCACGTATTGAAGTGGCAAAATTCATGTCAGCCGCTTCTAAAAGTCGCTAAAAGCTGTTAACAAAAATTGTAACGTTCCAGAAAGTCAAAAGCAGTGTTAAGTGTGGGATAAGGTTTAGAAAACAAAATATTTTGTTTAAAAATTTAAATCAACATTTCTTTTTCAACTTGTCTTCTTTAATTTCTTTCTCTTGACGTTTCTACTTACTTGCTTAATAAATATAAACGCACAATATATATTCGAAGGTAGAAGACATGAGAAATCTAGTGAACTGAAATCTGCTAATATATATATATATATACTCATTTCAATAATGATTCTGTATAGTGTTGAAATAAGTTTATATACTTATTTAAACACTACACGGAGTCATTACACCGCCATCGGTTTCTCTTCTCCCAAATTAACACTACAGTTATTCACTCAGACAACTATAATGTTCAAACGAATTGTATACAACTGTTCCAAAAAAATTTTGTAGTCAGTTGGTAAACACATAACGAACCCCTAATAAGACTCCAAAGAAAATTTTTCTTTATTTCTCAAGAACGTTTACCATCTAGAACAAATAGAGCAAAATATTTTAACAATTAAGAAAACCTAAGATTCACTCAAACCATGATAGACAAAGCACTATGCGTACTGTCATCTTCAGAAGTACTCTGCTCAAATAAGTCAGCAACGAAACGTCGCTTTTAATTAAGCTGAAACCAAGCATTTCTACGTATACAAGTGAAAATTTTCTCACAAAACTGATAAGAAGGAAGAAGCGAAAAACTTTCGAAGCCGATAAGTAAGGCTTGTCAAATGCATGGATTCTATAACACAATCCGAATAGTAAGGAGTGAAGAAAAGGTTGCTTTAGGTTAGATGAAAAAGCAACATACCGAGAAATTACCCGATGAGCTATTGTAGGAGTAAGATGCCATTCAAGATTACAGGTATTCTTCTACGACAGTGCTCAATCCACCGACAGGCCGCAGAACAGCAGTAGCAAAACTGTTTACTGGGAAAGAGTGTAAGTGGAGCAAGCAAATAACACTCAACCGGTCGATGTTTTTGCCACCATTATCGCTTGTTGACACTCAGAACGCGCTCCGCATGGTTATATGCGACCGTTTCGACTAAAGGGAGGGGTTAGACGTTTTACTCATCACATCCATTCCGTAAACCAGTCATTTACCTCTGCTACCGGTTCAGCCATGAGCACAGATTGCAAGCTGTCGGTACAGCGGTTTCAAAAGTGATTCCCAATTGAACTTTTTAGGTGCAAGGTAGGAGATGGATTAGTCCTACTGCCATTACTTTTGGTGTAGACAAACCATCAGCTGTCGTATTCGTACTGTTTTTGTCATCCTGAGCAGAACTCAGAAAAGCAAAATCGATGATAATTTACAAAAGTAGGAAAGGCAGCAGAGTGACGGAGAAAAGAGTCGGAATCGGAATAACAATATTTTCTGCAAAGCGAAAGTTCCATAACGGCAAAAAAAAAAAAAAAAAAAAAACAAAATAAAGAAGGACAAACAGGCTTGTTTTATGACTTGTTCCCCTTGCACTGTTATGTTTTCGAAATTTCAGCAACTTGCGAAAGTGAATCAGAAATTTGCTTTTACTTTCTGCATCAGCAAGTGAACGCATTGTATGAAGTATAAATTGTGTACGACTTCAAATTGAGCGTTACTTCCGTCAGGTTTAGAAAATATAATCAAAATCTTCTCATTATTATATCAACGTAATTTACGAACTTCGTAAAGTGCTGAAAATCCTCAAAAATTAGATTTATAATATTGATAGAAGCTTCTCTGCTGTTGTTATAGCAATTTGTATTTTTTTCGGAAACAAAGGACGAAGTATTTCCAACAGATATTCAACCATAGTCTCACGACTATAAAACATTTCTTTCACTTGAAGGTTATTTGCAGACTTTTAAATTTCAATCTTCTATCTTCCACCCAAAAAATTATGAGTAACAAAAGTCTCCACCGATTTTGTGCTCAGTGATTTTGATTGCGGAGTCGAAAGGAAACCCCAACAATTTTGAACCCTTATTTTTTTTCATTAAGCATGCAATAACGCTTTCTTAAGTCTTTCCATTCATAGCGGACTAGACAATAGTTTCAATTAAGAAATCAAAAAAACTTTTGTCCCCAGTCAATAAGCAGTGCTTGTAGCTCCAATTACGACTTGAAAAGCTTGGTATTTTGCTTTTACATCAAAAACTGATTTCCTCGTCTGAAACGCCGGCATTGCACATCCAACAACAACGGTTTTGCACCACTATGAGCCGTGGCGCAAACTGCAGCTACAGTAGTAATGTACACCTAGTGCTAAGAGTATGATTGGCTGAAATTTGGAAATAATCACTTTTTGCTATCTATTTTGGTGCCAGTTGTAGGCAATATAATGGTATGAAAATCAAGCCAGTTTGATACAGAAAGCGTGAGAAGCCAACAGCGGTAACGAAGAAGCCACTAACGGCACCACGATTTAGTGAAGCTTAACTTTGCCTGGTGCTACCGACACCAGCTGAGCTGTTCAAATGAGATCAGTGAAAATCAATAAGACGTGAATCTTGGATTTCACTAGGGTCAAAGGACAACGTTTGTTCGTACTAAATGATAACAAACAATCCCTAACTGAGCAGCGTCGGCTTAATTCTGATTATTGGTATCCATGAGGATCGAGGAGGTATTTTTTTGAAAAAAATGAATAGTAAATTCCCCTAGGATATGCTGGGAACTCACTTCTTTCGTCTGCAGGATGCCATTTGTTGCCGCAGATCAAAGCCGATTATTTTTCCCTCACTGTGTTACTTGGAGAGAAGGTTCACAGATCACTTCTTACTAGACACAGAAATGGTGTAAAGAATATTTCGATGGAGGCAAGCAGACTTTACTAATACACTTCAAAAGTTCGAAACTTTACAGCATCCATATTTGTATCATACAAGCAGTTTTCGTTACGGAACAGCAAAACAACACGTTGAGCAGCTTTTGCATTCTTGAACACACAGTTGTACAGGCTGCTGTTCATTTTGCAATAATTAGTTGCTGGTACAGTCTTTGAGCCTATTTTTATATAGCGCAAGCATGTAGCAAACGGTACTCGAATCGCACCCGGAAAGTTTCTTCACAATGTTTAGGTTGAATGATTGAGTCCAAATATTTGTTTCATTGTTTTCTTTTTGTTTTCTAAGATACTTTAAAATTTTTCTGCGGTTAACAGTTTTCCATGTATCACACCACGAAGCAGCTGCTGTAGTACATGAATACGCACTTTATAATGCATTATATAGAGAACTTGACTTCTTTTGGATTTTGATCTTAAAAAGGACAAGAATTCTAAAGCAATTCCCCTTAGAAATTTCCATGACGGAGCTAGAAGCTAGGTTGATCCAAAAGACATTTAGATACTTTTATGAGATAATGGCAATAGCTCAAGATAGTTCTTTTCCACAGCCAAACGCAGGCACTTCGTCACTTTTTCTTTCAAATCTCTGGGTTGCTAACTGTATAACCCACGCAAAGATACTGATGCGCAAAAGAAACAAATAGTTGGACAAAACAGCATCAATTTCTTGTGCTTCTACCTGAGGCTTTGGCAAAAATTGGGACTACATTTTTCAATCTCTAGTATAATTTCGTACCAGCTTCTTATAGATTTACTTTAAACTGTTTATTAAACTCCAACAAGGTGCAGTCTTTTCGAGCACAGTTTACTTTTTAATTCCTAAATAACAGTTACTTCTTCGCCATCGTAGCCAGTTTTTGGCACCTATTTTGGATTCCTGTGAATGGGCTTCAACATGAAAAAGCTCTAGGATTCGACACGTCTGCGTCTTACTTTTAATTGGTGTGCCCCACATCTGTTGTGTTACTGTGTCATTACTGAGTATCTCTTGCCGTCATGTTTGGCCCTCTGGCATACCAACCGTATTGGACGAGTCCAATGAAGATTCATAAATAAGAGCAGTAATGGTAACGAATGGGTTAAGAGGTGCGCAATTACAGCTGGTTAGTTGTGGAAGCGAATGGAAGAACAGTAGCTCTCCTTCTCTATTCTTTTCTTCCCCTCATTCAAACTGAGGAACTGAATTTAAACGAGCAGAACGGAAAAACTCAAATTATGCAACTTCGGCGTCTGACTTTAGTGCTTTTATTTCGACGTCACTCTAAATTCAAATAAGAGTGGACCACCGCCTCAAATCCTTGCACATTCTTTTACCCGCTCCTTGGCCGAAGCCTACAGCTAAGAAGCAAAAGATGAGCCCCTACCAAGTAGAAATGAGTTGCTGGCAACAATTTCCACAACTTCAGTAAATATAAATAGATCAGTTCAAAGAAGTTTGCGCAGTTTTTTGTTCGCAGCTTCAAGAAAAAAAAAAAAGGTGGAGAGCTTCAACGTCAAAAGCGGCACAGTGTAAGTGGAAGGAATCTATATGAAATCAAATTCTAACTTCAATCAGCAAATACTGAGCAAAGTAATTATGAGTAATGCACAAGTGGTAATGAGTAAGGGAGGAGGATGTACAAAAACTACAAATCAGGATCTCAAAATAATTTTATTGCCAACATACTGACAAATTTAGTAACAATCAAAATGACAAAATCGAATATATTAAACAAGAAAAATAAAATTTTGTAACAACAAAGAGATCATCACGAAATCCACAGAAACTTTACAATTATGCACAAACAATCATGACGTACCAGATGATTTCAACGGTCCGTTCAATAGCTCATAACTAAGTTTTCACTACGGTTTTTCCAACCCCTCCCAACTAAAAAGAGGCAAAAGGCAGAAGAAAAAAGTAAAGGACGGGAACTAATAAGAAATAAATCGAAAATTACAATAAATTTCAAATGACATCATAAAAGGCACAAGTACAAACAGTTTACCTGCTTCTGAAATCTGAAAAGTTCTTCTGAGTTTATAAGAAGCGACTAGCATGTATTATATATATAAACACATAAGTGAAAAGTAGTACAAAATCAAGGTTTAATTTCCAGCACCAAAGACTATTGGAAATGTGTTATGAGGCAAAAAAAAAATGACTATTTATAGAAGCTGCAAATACAGTTATAACCTATTTTTTACTTGGAACAAGAAATAAAATACTTTCAATGAGATAGCTAGGCGAAAGTACGAAATATGAAAGATACCGTGTCCACTTCAAAAAAAATATGTATATGTATATATAATAGTAGTTTGGCAATATATGTAATCAGAAAATCATAAACAAAGTCTACAAGGCTGAGCAGATTAAGAATTTAAACTTCTGTGCTTTCCGTAAACTACTAAACTTCACATCCTAAAAAGCTTAATTTTGAAAGCTTCTGAAGCATTAGAGTCTAAAGGATATAAACCTGGTAGAATATTAATTGCCACTATTTCGCTACACTACCTTCTTCGGTCTCTTAGCAGTACTTCCAACTTTTCCAGATATACTAACGCGTTTGACGCTTTTTTTCTTGATACACCCCTGGCAAAACCAATCCGTATTTTCTGGCGGAGCAACGAACAACCCCACACAACTCCTAAAAAAGCTCATGCAGGAGGTTTCTATATGGAAATGGTTTAACGAAGAGAGTAGTTTCTAACAAAAGGCTGTTTTTTTGAAATCATTGTAAATAACGGCGTATTCCAGGGAAACCTACTGATCAAACAAAAGAAAACAAAGTACCAGTGGAACCAGTTATCACAACCATCGCAACACACCATGTCGGTCGCACCATCTACGTATGCAACGGAACACTCAGGGCATATCCAGACGTCATCATCATCAGCCACAAAACTTCGCTGAAACAAGACCTGACTTGAATTATTGACAAATAAGAGGTGTAGACAAGTAACTTTAAAAAAACCTTAATTTATAAATTGAAATTAGTTCTGCCGTAATCGCATAAATTATTAAAAATAATAAGAGCAGAGCATCATAAGAAAACCAAAAATAATAACCTTTTCTTTCGTAGGTTTCACACCTGAAGTCTTTTGAGACTCATTACTATTTCCTATCTTACTAGAACTCGTCGCCACGCCTTTCTTCTTTTTCAAGGTACCTGAATAAAGGTAAGATAAACTATGATAAAAAACGATCGGTTGAAAGGACTAATTACTGTTCAATCGAACTGAAAGCTTACTGACCGATTCCCAAAGTCATTTATCCAAAGAAAACAGTTTAGTCAAACTTAATTACATGAGAAGAGAACTATCCTTTTTTGATAAAACATTTACAACTGACCTATGAAACTGTTACTGAAAATGCTAAACAGAACTAAGCAGTAATTCAGAAGATAAGTTTTTCTCCCTTAAAATTTAACAGTCTAAAAATAAGTAGTCCAAGTAAGAAAACGGCCGATCCTGCTCAACCTTTCAAAACTAGAAAAAGATTTTGAACATAGAAATTTTACCATCTTCAAGGCTACCAACAAATCTGAATTCAGAATTCGGCATAAAATAAAACAGATTAATCAACGAATGAAACCTCATGCGGACGTTGCTTGCATAGAAGAAAACTTCGGAGCCAAAAAAAGCAAAGCAAACAAAGCAAACATGCAACGTGCTAAAAAATACTCACCAGGAAAAGCATTCTTCGAAGGTTTTGAGTCTTTACTGTGATTTGTTTTTTCAGGGCAACTTTCTTTGTCAGCAGGCTTCAGCAACGGGCGATCATCAAAAACAGCGCTGTTTAAGGATGAATCTTCCTGGCGTTTTTTGTCTTTTTCGTAACCAAAGTCCTTTTTTGTTTTTGAAAGTTCCTTCCTGTTCTCGACATCTTTAGTTCTTTCCCGCTCAGTCTTCTCCTTCCGGTCTCTTTCTTTTAACCTCACAACATCCTTCTTCTCGTAATCCTTCAAACGTTCCTTTTCAGAATCATACGTCCTTCCATTTTCCCTGCTAAAATCTCTTTCTTTTTCACATTCTCTGTCCCGATCTTTCCTCTTTTCCCGGTCAGTTTTTTTGTTTTCCAACCGCGATTTCTCATCAGTTTTCTGAGGCTTTTCCTTCCATAATAATGGCTCGTCTTTGCGTTTTTCCCTGCAAGTTAAAAGTTAGACAAGTAAAAAGCAGATAAAGTACTTGAGGGAGAGAAATATAATTTGTGGAAAAGCTACTTTTTGGAAGCTTCACTTTTATGGAATTACCGAGAAGCAAAGATAAGGATTCTCCTCATAGAAAACGAAGAAATTAGTCAGAAGATAAGTAAACAAATAGAATAAATGCAAAAGTACACAACAAAAAAATAAATGATAGTAATTTGAACCCTTAACTTAGTAAGTAAAAGATCCAAAAGTCACTGAAATTTATACCTGACACTGCATTTCAATTAAAAAATAAGCTAGTCTGACACCCTCAGGTGGAGATCCAGCACAACAACAGTGTCAGTTCTTGCATATGAGGTACGACAAAAAGAAACTGACGAAACCACAAAAACAAAAACTCGACTTTCAACGACACTATACAAGAGACCTCTTCTGGAAATGTCTTAGGAAATTGGAAAATATTAGAAACCAAGGTGCTATGACCGACTAGTCACTGAACGATTTGAATAGTTAAACGCTGGTTCAATCCCTGGCGGAAAAGTTTTACTAATTCACACAGCTTCTGTCAACTGATAAGTCAAAAAATAGTCAGTAAAAGCAGTCCTTGTTCATCAACCTCGTTCATATCCATTAGCAAAGCATGCTGGATTAGTTAGAACGGATATATTATAAAGTATGCGAAGTTAGTAGCAATTAAAAGTTGACAGTCATTGAGACGAAATATGAATGTGGGCGGCAAACACTTAGCTCAAAATCGCATTTGATTTGCAAAACTTTGAAATAGAAAAGCTATCAGCATACAGAGCAAAAAAGAACTTCGAAAGGCAAATTGGTAACATTTTTGAACAAATTACTAACTAAAATCGACGAAACTCAGAACAAAAGTTTAAAACTAAAAGCTCTGGCTGAACACACTTCAAATTACACTGTAAGTTTTAGCTAAGCATATTTTTTGTACGATTAGACCCTACAACAATATCACATCAAAATCTCGCGCTTGGTAAACAAATATGTTAAAAAAATGTAAAAACGTGCAATTATTCCAAATGATTAACCGGTCGAAAACTGGTTACGTCTTTCTTGCTACCAGCTGTGCCGTCCTTAACCAAGCATTCTTTTGAGCAGAAGCAAAGAGCAAGCACAGATACTGTCAACAGTCAATAAAGACTAGACAAGTAAGTTTTAAAAAGCGTTGCTTTTTTGAGATATATAAAACCAAAGTGATACTCACGTTTTTGTAGAGAACAGCGGCAGTTCAGCTTTCTTGGCAGCCTTCGGTACCACTTTCAACTATAAAAAAAATCAAATCTTAACATTAGAAATGACCAAATTTATTTGACTATTTCCACCCTACACCATTCCAATCTCAGCCACGCAAACTTCCAACTGAAAAGTAACTTTGAACACTTTATTCATTAAAAAAA